GGGTGTGGTCAAGAGGTAAGTTCCCTCCGGCCTGGCGGAAAGCTGTTGTGGTGCCTATCCTAAAACAGGGAAAGAGTGAGCTGGACCCTCTTCATTACCGACCCATTTCACTGACGTCATCACTGTCCAAGCTCATGGAAAAGATGGTAAACGTGCGACTCACTTGGTTTTTAGAGAACAACGATATTTTTAGTAACTCGCAGTGCGGATTTAGGAAAAACCGTAGTACGGTGGACCATCTCTTAACACTGGACACCACGGTTCGCAAGTCTTTTCAAGAAAAAACGCATATGGGGACAGTATTCTTCGACATTGAAGCCGCCTATGACACCACATGGCGCCATGGTATTGTTCAAAAGCTTTTTAAATATGGTATACGTGGCCATATGGGTGCCTTTCTCCAAAGGTTTTTAGCTAAACGGTACTTCCGTGTTCGGGTCGGCAACGTCCTCTCCGATAGGTACGAACAAATAAACGGCGTGCCCCAGGGCGGCGTGTTAAGTGTAGCACTGTTCGCAGTTATGATAAATGATGTTTGTGATGTGCTCCCACAGTCGGTCGGACGTGCCCTTTTTGTTGACGATTTTACTATTTGGACCAGTGCAGCGAGAGCACCAGCGATGGAGCGGCGTCTCCAGCTGGCTGTGGACCGCGTTGAAAGATGGGGTGACATGAACGGGTTTCGTTTTTCAGGCGACAGGACCGTTGCGATGCATTTTTGTCGTCGCCAGCGATGTGATGATCTGAGCATCCGTCTATATGGTCGCTCTATTCCAAATAAGGCCGTGGCCAGGTATCTTGGGATACACTTTGACCGCCGCCTTACATATAACGCACATCTTAAAATGTTACGCGATCGATGCTTTAAATCTCTCAGCATACTAAAGTGTGTGTCTCGCACATCTTATGAGGCAGACAGAAGCACGCTTATGCTTTTATATCGTTCCCTCGTCCGCTCCAAACTGGATTATGCATGCTTTGTTTATGATGACGCGTCTGAATCCAGCAAGCGTGTTCTTGATACCGTCCACCATACTGCCATTCGCATTGCTACTGGGGCGTTTCGCGCATCACCTTCCGTCAGCCTTTTAACGGAGACACACGAACCACCACTTTCGACGAGGAGGAAAATGCTTGGCATGCGTTATGCCTTGAAGCTGCGGCAGTTCCCACTTCACCCGACACATTCTGCAATATTTTCGCGGTTTGCGGTAATTTCTCTTCGTCATGGGCCGCAGCAGCACGCTTTAACTTTTGGTTCCCGAATGAGAGCGTTATTGCTCGAGAGCGGAATTCCTGTTCGGGGTGTAAGGCAAGTAAGCCGCCTGGCTTCTCCTCCTTGGCAAATGACCACACCCTTCACTGACACCTCGCTTACGGAAATTAGGAAAAAAGACGTCACACCACACTTATTGAGATCCAGGGCAGTTGAGCTTTTGGCGTGTTACGAAGGATATACCCTGCCATACACAGACGGATCCAAAACCTCGGATGGCGTGGGTTGTGCTTTCGTTAGCGGGTCCGTCACTTGATCGTCCTCGTTACCGGCCCACTCGTCAGTTTTTACGGCGGAATTAGTTGCAATCACCAAGGCGATATGCTTCATAGAAGTGGGTGAAGAATCTTCACACGCCATTTTTACAGATTCACTGAGCAGTCTCTCTGCACTGAAGTCTTCTTATCCATCATGTCCCCTTTTACAGGACATTTGATCACGCCTGACACAATTGAATCGGGTTGGAAAGAGAGTTGCGCTGTGATGGATCCCTAGTCACGTCGGTATCGTGGGCAACGAACTGGCTGATGCCGCTGCTAAGCGAGCAGCGGTAGCACCATATACCCGGTTTTTGCCTATCCCTGCCAGAGATTTTTACCCAGCAGTCAAGACCTTCCTGAGAAGCAGATTGCAGCGTTGATGGGACCAGGTGGGGGGCAATAAGCTCAGGGCAATAAAGACAAAGTTGGGCGTGTGGTCGTCATGCTCTCGCAGTGTGCGGTGGGAAGAGGTGGTTTTATGCAGGCTGCGCATTGGGCATACTTATGCCGCCCATGGCCATCTGTTGCATGGAGCCGACAGACCCTTATGCCAGCGGTGTGGTGCCGTCCTGACTGTCCATCATGTCATTATATCATGTCCATGCTTCTTCAAAGAACGACGACGTCACCTTGGTTCACAGGCTTCGACCCCGACGATTAATGATGTGCTTGGTGACAGTTCCTCCTTTCTTGATCCCAAACAGCTCTTTTCGTTTTTAAAAGATATTGATTTTCAAGTCATTTTCACACCGTACTAATTAAGCAACAGCATGGTTATGGGCGCAAAATAACCACTGCAGTCGACGCGCCCGCAAACTCCAATGAACAACAACAACCGCCCCGCCAGTTTTCAGGTGAGCGACAAGTCGACCCGAACCTGTGACTAGCCGGCTCGCCGCTTTTGCTATCAGCTGATGGCCAATGCCTAATAATGCAAGGTTCTAACCAATTCCGTGTTGGTGTTGGCTAGAATAGATTATTTCAGATTTATTCCATGATTCCATGAAAAAATCTGAGTTTCCAAACTCCCAGTGCATTTCTCAAAGTCTGCCAGGCCGTGAGAAAGTTTCTAGGGTCCCGCCAGATGTTACAGTAGCCAAACCGCTGAGTCGCAACTTCACGGAGAGTTAGCTTATGACGGCTGGAGAGGTGGTGGCCTGTGACAATTTCGCTGGAAACCGTTTGTTGTCCAGGGCGCCACGCCAGTGTTTCATCGAGACACGTCGCAGTGCACCTCGAGCCCATTTGTAGTGCACTAGCTGGACGGGAGTATGCGTGTGTGTGTGTGTGTGTGTGTGTGTGTGTGTGTGTGTGTGTGTGTTAGGGGGGGGGGGGGTTGCGTTCTCGCTCAGAACTACTGATGATGATGATGACTTGGGGTTTTAGGGCGCATCGACTGCTGTAGTTCATGCAGCGCCCATACTCAGAACTACTATTGCAGTATCTCATGTCATGGGAAAAGCGCACCTCCATGGTGCATGTCATGGGAAAAGCGCACCTCCATGGTGCATGCCTTGCGAAGGCAACTGATGCCGCAGGTTCGGACCGGGGCAACTGTGCCTGGCCCGAGCAAAGTACGTCTTACGGGTGGGCGTGCAGCACAGTATGCAAACAAAACTATCGGTACGGCGAGCTCTATGTTTTATCAGCAATGCCAGTCGCCTATTGAAAGTTGCGAAATTATGACAAGAATCCTACACTGCCGAAACACCATGAATAATGCTGAAGGCGATGAGCACTAGGGAGGCGAATACAAATGTGCGCAACGCCACAGCATGAATCACGAACCGGAGGCCGGGAGAGGGCGTGCTGAGCCCAAACAACTCCGCCGTTCCGCGACAGAGTAAAGGCGCGAGATAAGAATATGCTCTACAGTCAAACACTCCACATTCTCTGCACTGCGGCATGCCCTGGCCCGACAGCTAACAAGACTGTGTAGCGTAGGTGGACTCCAGCCGCGGATGGCGAAAGGCAGCGTCTCCAAACCTCGCGTGATGGTGAAGGGCAACGTCTCCAAACCTCGCGTGATGGCGAAGGGCAACGTCTCCAAACCTCGCGTCACGATCGGACAATGCCCACGCGCTAACAAGCCGTTTGATGGCTTTGCGTCGGTGAACTACTAGTCGGCATACTTCTTTTGCCACGCAGCATATAAGTGCCTTGCAACTGCTGATTTCAGGTCACCAGTCAATAGATTGATGGGGAAAGGAGGTGGGGGGGGGGGGGGGGGGGGGGGGGGGGTCTCGGCACGCGGTGGCTCTCGCCGCGGTGCCATGTCTTTCATTTTCCATAATCCCGATGTGGCTGGGATCCATGTGAAAGTGATTTTAACGTGTGCTGTAAACTGGAGCAATTCCTCCCAGGCTGACTGAATGGTGTATGACCGGTCTTGACCAACTGAAGTTAGATTAATGATAAAATGATGCTAAGCGAGTCGGTTAAAATCGGAGAGTCCCCATCCGTATAGCATTTGGTACGCTGCAGGGTTGAAAGGATTCCAGACATCCGTAGAGATGTGTCAAGGTAAGCACAGTCCTTGCCCAACGTCTCGGGGACGATTTCATTGTGTATTGCATTACAGAATTTCTTCGCCAGCTCGCATAAGAAATAAGCGTGTTGGCACCCGTGCAAGGGCAAACCACGGCACCACCTACCAGAAGAGTTCGAAGGAGCCGCTCTCATAGCGAGTCCTGATGGTCTCGGCTGTGTTTCAGTTCGTTTCAGAAAACAAACTAGCCAATGTTGTAAAGCTCCATTATTTTCTACCGCAAACCGTGACCGAGGTGATCCTCGCCCATGGCCCAACAGCCGCACTCGTCCATGACCTGTCCACAGACATTGGGACGGCATGTCGGGCTCATCAAAGTGCAGGCGGATGTGTCCACGAGAGTCTGTCTAACCGTGCGGCCGTTTGCCAGCAGCGCACCATTGCTGCGATGTAATCTAGCGATATTCTTAAGCGCGCAGTGCCTGGCCTGCTCGTCTTTGTATAATGCAGTTTTGTTCAATGTCGCTCGGCAGAGCCATTTCCATTGTCTTCTGACTACGCCACAAGTCTGGAGCGGCAGCACCCCATCGCTCTCGCTCTCGTGTACGTTCGCTCTGCACACTCCGTTCGGCCAGTTCGCGCCCTCGTTGTTGTTTTTTGTTTTGTTTTTGATTAGAGCCCTTTCGACCAGATATGATCATTTCAGGGCTATGAGATGAAGGAAAATGGTTAACGGTGGAGCAGACTCGCATGCGCCTGGGGGTCAACCGCCGGGCTTTAATTCGCGCATGCGCGCTGGGTACCCGGTCGAGGTCCCCCTTCCCAAGGGGCTCTAGGCCCACTCGTGGCTGACGCATACAGCCTGCCCCGGACAAGCGGGTTGTCGCGAGGACGCAGGATGAAGCAAGATAGAGCATAAGAGAGACGAATGTATCAGTTCGGGCCCTCGACATACCCCCGTCGTCACACGCGCACGCTCGTCAATGGAATGGTTTTATTGTAATAAACGACCGTTGATGTTTTCATAATGCAGCACCACCATCTGTCCTTACGATAAATATCAGGAAGCGTGGCAGCCCCGAGTCCGCAGGCTCTGCCGGGCAGGCACTTTGGCCTGGCGACCCGACCACAACCGCCGGCGGTCGTAACAACGCGACGTCCCGCCACGCCGCACACGTACACACGCGCACGCACGGACACACAGGCGCACCTTTACAATGCTAACTGTACAGCACACACAATCAGCGCCCATCGGCGCATGGCGTCGAGAACTGCGCTGTCTTGGACCGCAGCGCCGGCACCGACGGCGCCGCCTCACTGGCACCAATTTTATGCCCGCGGATTCGTTGTGGTTGCGACTGAACGGTAGGGCCTGACCGAGACGGCTGCGACCGGCGAATGAGTATTATGAGGGATGACCAGCGCAGTGATGGGACCCACGGACGGCAGACAGCAGCCACTAAAACTCACGGCTCAACAGAACAACCTAGGCGCGCGCGCACGCGGCTAAAAGGGGCGACCCCCGACGGCAGCGGCACTCTACGACACCCACCGGTCTCCGCGATCCACGAGCGCGCTACCTACCCTAGCTATAGACAACCCGCCGGACGGCGCGCAATGCCTGGCGATCGCAGCGCCACCCGCGGCGCCGGAGCGAACCCGCAGCCCGTCCGGCGTCGGCAGCGCCGCCTATTGACATTGAGCAGAATTAGTGAGCACTCAAACGGGGTTTAACTGTAACAATAATACTGTGAACCGTCGCTGTACCTCAAACAACAACCTACCAAAAATAGCCGGCGGGGCCAGACCGCCGGCGCACGGGCGCGGCCGGCTCTGCCGACGTAATATCATAGTGTATACAGGCTGTACATGGGACGGCAGTCGACACCGCCGATGGCACGCAGCAGGACGAGGGGGAGGGGGCGGCGCTCGTCGCTGGGGGTTCACGTGTAAAAAATAGGGTGCGTGGGCGCCGGCACCGGCCGGCGCTCGGCCTGACTGGGTGTGTGCGGCCGCGCGGGCCGGCCGGCCGGCCACCTCGACCCGCTACTTCTTGTCCAGCTCCTTGTGTTTGCCGTCCAGGCCGGGCGAGCCCAGGTGGATGTGCGCGCTCGGCGGGAACGACTTCTCCAGGTACTTCAGCGACTCGTTCAGGTAGTTCTGCGGCAGGACAGGGCGCAGGGTCAGCGGCGCCAGTGCCACGCCGACGGCCGGTGGCCGGTCGGCCGAGCGATCCCGTCACGACGGCCCGCTCAGCGACACCCCAGCACAGGCGGCGCCCATCGTCGGCCGTCGACACCCAGACGGTGGGCGTCACGGCACACGCACGGCGACCAGCGTCTACAACACGCACGCACACACTCACTCGCGCAAGCACGCACGCACGCACGCACTCACTCACGCACGCACCCACGCACGCACCCACGCACACACATGTGCAGGTGTCTACAAGTCCGTCAGCAAGTCTGCAGTTGACTTGCTGACGGACTGCAAGTACACCCGGTACGTCTGCAGCCGCCCACAGTACACTCGGTAGGTCTGCAGCCGCCTACAGTACCCCAGCACGTCTGCACGGCAGCCCGGGTACAAATCGGAGGCCACCCACCTGTATGGCGGTCAGGGCGGCCACGATGGCCGGGCTGCCGAAGCCGTGCGTGATGAGCGAGAAGTGCGTCAGGTGCCGCTGGATCTGCGGGTCCAGGATGATCTGCGGCCGCGTGTTGCACAGCGGCGACCGGTCCTGGTTGAGCAGGTCCATCAGCTCCTTAGTGATCTCTCTGCGGGCGACACGACACGGACGGCGTCAGCACACGTCGCCGCCGTCGCGCCGCGCTGGCCACGTTTGCACAGCGGTTCGAGCCTACGTCATGGTGGCGGAACTCCGATTGTGTCCATGCAAATTGGCTCATTTCAGCGGCTGAGCGGCGCGTCTGCAGCGTGGCCGGCCGCAGCTGCGGCTGCGGCTGCGGCCGGAGCCGGCCGCCGCGCTCCGTCATCGGGTCCGGCCGCCTCCCGCCGACCGGCTCGGCTGACGACGCCGACCGATCGGGCCGCGACACCAAGACGGCCGCCGGTCGGCGCCGCCACTTTCTCTCCAGGCAAGTCGTCCAATAGAGCCCGGGCGCGGGCCGCGATCCGCTGCGTAAACCTAATTAGCACGTCGTCTCATTTGGGCCCGCGTCGGGTTATGAGATTACGTGCCAGGCGGCCGGTACGCCCCGCTATTACTGGCAACCAGCGGGTAATCACGGGCCACACCTCTGGGGCCGCCCGACACCCGGAGCACCTGCCGAGCACCGGAGAACCGGGCACGAGCAGGGAACACAGCTGAGCACCGGAGCGCCGGCCACGAGTGGGGGCCACAGTCCAGCACCTGAGTACCGGCTACGAGCGGGGACCACAGTCGAGCACCGGGCACGAGCGGGAATCACAGCCGAGCATCGGGCCCGAACGCAGGAGCGACCGCCGGGCGGTGCGGGATCGGTCTGGGCTGATGTCGGCAGCATCGAAACACGACTGGGGCGGGGGCGACCGCGGCTGCAGAGTCGGCCGAACCGAACGTGTGGAAACCGACGCTGATCGACCGGCTATCAGCACTTTCAATCATGGAAGGACTTTCTTTTACCAGGCAGAGGCACTCGAACACGTTTCGCCACGTCCCCGGACAGATTTCGCCCTCAGCGGACCACAACATGCGGAGAAGTCGAGGCATTTCGTATCACGGACAGGAACCTCCATCATCCCCACACTCGAGACGAAATATACGCGCGATTGGAAACCTCCTACTGGCCCAGGGGAACATCAAAGCGATTTCTCTCGTATCGATTTATCAAAACCTCACCCAAAGCCGCCCGGCCGGCCGGACTCACGTCCCTACACGGTACACTCACAAAAAAGAACGTCGGGGAGAAGGGGTGGCCGGGCAGGTCCGGGCCGGCCGAGCCCATTTTTTTTGCCGTCTGACGGCGCGTCGCGGCCGTGTCGGCCGACGTGTGCGACAGTGGGACGGACCGGAGGGGCACGGCGAGCCGGCGCACCTGCGGCCCGGCCCGTGCCACCCGGCGCGACCGCCGGCCGGACCTGCCGCCGCCGGCCGAGTCTGTCTGTCAGCCGGGCCCCGGCCGACGCGATCGCAGCCGACCAGCGCGTCCGGCGCCGGTACGCCACCCGGCCCTCCGACCGGTTAAGTCGCTTCTCGTGTAGACGCGGCCTGCACTCAGCCGGCTGACCGTGCCACCGGAGACGGCGCGACGCGACGCCGGCCCGCGGGCGCCCGCACCACTCACCGCCGCTGGTGGTCCCACGCGAGCCGCTGATAGAGGACGGGACAGCTCAAAGCGCCGCACGATTGCTCCAAAGAGTAAACGAGTGTTTTGGAAATGTCGCATTGGGCCTGACATGTGACTGATCGAAGTGCGACAGCGTCAAGAGGATGTAACCTGCGCTAAATCAACAGCGGTCTGCTCCTCAAAAGCATTGCTTGTCCAGCTTTTGCTTCCGTCCACGCGAGTACTCACAGCATTGCGACCGACTCGCAAAGCTGACAAGAACGTCCCAGAACAAGCAGTCCAGGCCACACATCTGGCCCACTGACGAGGGGTATCTTTCGCACAAACTTAACAAGAGCGGAATGGACACCACGTCGACAGCGGCCGCAGTCGAGCCGGCAGCGGCACTCAGCCGCGTATGGCTGGCGTTTGGTGCGACATCATGTTGACGACACCGACGTCATGGTGTGCGCGTTACCACGTGCACAATGACCCAGAAGCTTCCGGGTCAGGACACCAGCTGGCTGCTGGCGGCCACACGCCTCAGCTCCGCGGCGCTGCCGACCGCCGCCTGCAGACGGCACCGCCAGCCGGCCGGCAGACGCCGGCTCGCCGTCTCTCGGGGCCGCCGGGCAGGGCCGGGCCGGCGGCCTGTTGACCGCGTGCCGAGTTCCGTTGTCGTAAAGCCCCGAGGACGAGGCGCTCACGATGCGCGGCCGGGCGCCGGCACGGCCGCGCTCCGCCCAGCGGACAGACGCGCCGCAGTCGAGGTCCACCTGTGCCCACGCGGCACGCGCGGATCCCGCGGCCGGCGCGCCGCCGCCGCCGCAGCCCGTGAGACATGTCCCGCCGAGGCCGCGGCGCGCGGGCGGGGCCGCCACAGATAAGACACGAGGGCCGAGATAGAGCCGATGCCAGCCGGCCGCCACCTAATGCACGGCCGCGTCTCTCCGCTCCGATAACGTCATGGAGCAGGGCAGGCTGCGCGCACCGGCACTCAGGGACCGGCCAATAGCTGCCCATAGCTCAGCCTGGTGCAATGCCAATCGCGGTCGCCGCCGCCTACGGCGTCGCGCAGAGTTTGTCACCATTCTTTGGCGTCATTAAGCGGAATGAGCTCCTTTGTCGGTGGGCTCAGATCGGAGGCGAGTGAAAAGGTTGCTACAAGTTTCCCGGGCCTCATGCCGACACCACCAATAAAAGCCGACAATTTATCAGACATCTCCTGCGTCCATGTATCAATGCCTGTCATAAAAGCCAGCTTTAATCAAACGGGACAAAATAGCCGGGACCAGCGCTTTTATGCCGGTCATTTTCGTCTGCTGAACGCGACAGTGGGAGAGCTATTTTCACTGCTTCGACCACACCGGTTCGGAAGGCATTCCGTTACTGCGCGGTGCCATTAGAGCCCAGGGCGGACGGCTAATGACGTCTTCGAATGCAGGAGACGCGGCCGAGAACAAGTACGGCAGCGAGGTCGGGTTCACAGGGCAGCCGGTAGCGGAACCCCCCCCCCCCCCCCCCGGCCGCGGCCGTCCGGCCCGAGGCTCGGCCGGACCAACAGACCACCTCCCATTGGTCTGTCTGGCCTGTCGGCCGGTGGCGGGGCCGCAGAGATCGACCGGAGGCGCGAGGTCGGCGTCGGCGGCAGCACGAGGACGGTCGGGAGCGGCGCCGAGCCGGCCCCGCGCGACTCACGGCTGGGACGGCAGCGCAGGCCACTCACTTGGTGGCTTTGACGAGCTCGCGGCGCTGGTACTGGTCGGCCGGGTTCGTGTGCTGCCGGCACAGGTACTCGGCGATCTGCCGCGACGGGAACTCCGTCTCGCAGACGTAGCCGAAGTCGCGCGCCAGGTGGATCGCCTCGCCTGGGGACGCACGCACGGACCGGACACGTCACACGACGGAAACATGAGCACCGCAGATATCGCGGGCAGTCGGAAAAGGTCACCCATCACGAGCCACACGTGATGATGGCATTCAGTCAGCGTTACATCATGACAGTCTGATGACATAGACGTAGCATGAAAAACTAGGCATGAGACCACTTCTTCACTTAACTGCTAAACACAAACCAGGCTATCCGTCATAGTAATGATGCGCCCGTTTAGGCCCCAAAACTATTTAGGAGCATCGGCAGTCACATATAAGGAAGGTTACGCGATATATTACATCCACCACAGGATGTCGTGCTGGGCGAGCAGGAGTCGGCGTGATCACAGCTTAGTCTCTAACGACAAATGACCTGGGTGAATCCAAGGACGAGCTGTGACTAGTGGCGGGAGAAGGACCCCTTGCTGGACCTCACGCATCCAAGTGCGACTAATTCTTCAGGCCCATCGCCTTTAATTCATGCACTGTTTTTGGCGCAACGTGTTGAATAAGATATTATTTTCACAAACATTTTTTTCTAGGCAGCGTCCAATTCGGCACACTATCCCATTCAGAAGGTGGCAGCTTTCAAAAGTAACGTTTACAATCCAACTACGGGACCGCAACCCAGGACTCCAAACCCAAAACCCCAGTTGGCCAACGCCGCGGGTCGGTGCGAGACCTCAGAGCGGGCCGCGAGGATCACGCGAGACCCGTCCGCTGCTCCAGAGACAGCGCACCGCTGCCGAGTCTCGACGCCGGCCCCGGGTGCCGCGCGAGGCCCCGGACGGGGCGGCGCTTGCACGGACCGCCAGACACGTGCGGTAATCGTCCGCTCGACCGGGCTGCCGCGCCGGCCGGCAGCGTTTGCATATCAAGCGTAATGAGGATAACTAATGGCAGCAGCATGAACAAGCAGGCCAGGCGTCGCACTCACGTTCCGCACCGTTAGAATAATAAATACCAGCTTGAGCCGCCATATCAAGTGGGAGAAAGCAGCTCGGCCGCCCGGCAACGCCGCCCATGCTGGGCAACAGGCGAGGCCGGGCCAGACGGCAGGACTGAGCGTAGGCCGCCTGACGCAAAACGACATCTGACGCTAGCCTCGACAGAGACCACGGCTACCGCGACCAGGCCAGACCATCTCCGTGGCCTGTTCCCGAAACCTAGCCCGCTCCGCTCACTTGCTGGAGGCCGTTCTGTCATTGCCCATGCGATGTTCGCGCTGGGTAATTTGTACACCGCCGGCGCCGCCCAATACGGCCGGATCTCGTGTCCCGAAATGACGACCGATCCAGGGCGCCCTCAAGCGTGGCGTGCTGCCCGCTCGGCGACACGTCAGAGCCCGGAGTCGTTCTCCTAACCCCGGCTCTTACGACATAGCCACGCCATTACAGTACGGTCATACGACACGCGGCCATCGCTGGCCGATTACGTGGCCGGCCACAGCCCGATTATGTCCTGGGTGGCGGTGATTACGGTCGGCGAATCTCCGGCGGACCAGCGCCGACCGCGTCTGTCATTACAGCCACTTGGGCCGCCCTAACCAGGCCGTAACGGCCGCCATTTCAGGAGACGCGCCGCAGCCGGCGTGTCGACCGCGGCGGCGCCGCGTGAGAGGATGGTGCGGGCAACACCAGCCGGCGGGGGGGGGGGGGGGGGGAGCGCCGGCCGACTCTGCACCCCTTGAGCTTCACAGAATTTCTCAACGCCTCTCGCCCACATCTGATCCCCCCGTAAATCGGCACGGGTGACGGCCACCGCTGCCTTCTCAGCCAGCCGTGCCGCCGGGCGGGCATCGCTGGCTCGCCCGTTGGACTGCCCGCGATCTCGGCCGGCCGCTCCGGTCCCTCTCGGACGTCCGCCGCGCTGGGCCTCCAGCATGGTGCCCCGGACGGCTCCAGACGCGGCGACCGCCAGCTCCCATGACAGCTCTCCACCGCCCAGGCGTCTCACCGCCACAGGCGCGGGGCAGCACGGAGCAACTGCACCTGATCGCAGCGCCAGTGGCGGTGTCCCGCGCCCCGAGTGAAGTCACGTGACACGCCGGCGGTTACCGCTCCTCCACTGCGGCGCTGCCCAACCGATCAGCGAACTCGCGGCAAGTGTCTCGCCCAACACGACGTACACCATCCCAGCGGCCATCCCCACAGCTCAGAGATCGCCACAGTGAACGCCCCAGTGAACAGCCCGCAATGAACCCAGCGAACGCCCCAGCGAACGCCTCGAAGGGTCGTCCCGTGCTGGGCGTCACTGAGCCATCCAGCACCGGAGGGCCGGCCTGCTCCCCGTCCAGGGGGAGGACGCGGCCACCCCGTGAAGACGGCAGCTCGTGGGAACCGGATACGGCGCGAGGTGCGCGGCCGCCTGCCACCTGCTGCCCCGGCACCCCTGCACACATTCCGCAAATGCACGATCAGACGGGCTCCGGAGGGGGACGGCGCCCCCCCCCCCCACCCTTGGCACGCCCCTGCGCTCCAACCGTAACAGCCAGATGGCTTTTGCACGAATGCAAACGTGAATTCCCTGCCCTTTAAAATGCTGATCCAAGCAGACCTCGCGTTTGCACTGCTGTTTTAAGCGATTAGCATGTTCCCCAGAACTCGCAGCGAGTACGGCCCACCCGTCACTCACCCCGCGCCCGTATCCTAAGCGCTCGCGAACACGTCGACGACACCGATCGGCCGTGACAGTGGCGACCATGCCTGAGGCGACAGGCGGCCGTCACGACACACCTCCGAACAGCAGAGGCCCGATGACAACTAACGAGTGGTCTGCGGCCAGCTGGCGGCCGACTCGCCGCCGCCCCAGCTAGCGGTTAAATCATTCGCGGCGTCCGCCGGTGTCGGCGATACTATCTCAATGAGAAAGTGTAATGATGTAACCAGGATTGGGGCGCAGTTTGTCTGCGCCGCTGTCCAGCAGCTCGCTGCGCCGCTGACCGGGGTCGTTAGAGCGCGGTGGGCCGGCCGTCGGCCACGTGCAGCGAGCACGCCGCCCAGCGTCGGCCCAGATACGGTGCAGGCTGCCGTCTGCGCCTACTCCCAGGGGGCGCCCGACGGCCCGCACCCCGGCGGGGGGGGGGGGGGGGCGCCCCGCTGCCGCCGCCGGCCGGTGTTCGGCGGACGGTGGCGGACGGGCGGCGGGGCGACACGGCACCAGCCGTCGGCGGACGGGCGGCGGCTCAGCGCGGTGTCAGCTCGGCCCGTCGGCCGTCCGGTCTATCTGTGCACACCGCCGCCGTCGTCGATCGGCTCGGTCCGTCGGCCGCCCGGTCTGTGTACGCCCCCGCCGCCCAGGCTGTCCGACGGCCGGCCCGGAGCGCGCGGCCACCGCAGCGCCACTATTTGCATATGCGAACCATCAACGGGGGAGCGGGTGGCCACCAGACCGGGTCCGCCTCGTCCCGGCCCGGCCCGACGCGGACAACAACGCCGCGCGATCGTTACACCCGCCCTCGACGGCTAAGTAAATTATGATTAATAATAAATTGCAATTAGCTCGCGCGTTCGCGGCGCTCTGGCGAAAGCGCCGACGTCTAGCCGCGCTAGGTTCACATCATGATTCTCCCCAGTCCACGAGTAGCTTCTAAGACGGTGGGGCGACGGGGAGGGAGGCTTAGAGGCTATCAATTTGGCTCCTTCTGCCTTGCGGGCGTTGCGGAGACATTCCATGCGTCGTCCACGAGTACGACCACTGACGCTTGGTATGCCTCGAACGAATCGCATGCCCGTTCAAAACGAACCTGGGTATAATCAAACAAATACTGAATATAGGGCCAGACAGACCAGCCTCGACAAAGAAAGAAAGAAGCCGCCAAAGAGACAAGGCCGCCGAAGACTGCCACCATGCCGAAGATACCGATTCTGTTCACACAACAGGGAGCACGCAGTGGTTGGCCCCAGTTGCAGTCCCCCGCCCCGAGCCGTCCACCCTCACCCGCACAAGGGGGCGGCTGTGGAGCTCTGGTCAAAAAAACCTGCGACGCCTGTCGCCCTCCCCGCCTCCCCTGACGCCAACATCGCCCCTCCCTCCCCCTCCCTACCCCTCCCGCCATCTCCGGCCGGCCGTCCGGTCGGACAAGGCGGCCCGTATGAATTTTAATCAGGCGCGCAATGCTTGTTATATCGTCATTACAACACGATTAAGTGCCGGGTTCGCGCTCCGTCGCGACCCGCGCGCCCACCCCCCGCGCCATCGCTGATGGCTTTTTGATTACCCCGCGCACAATTAGCCGGCCGCGTCCGTCGCGTCTCCCGGCCGCGCTGCCCATCCGCGCCGCGCCAGCTCCCTCCTCCTTTTTAAATCGCATGAATTACAAATCGCCCGGCCGGACGGTGGCGACCGGCGCGAACGAAGCGAAGGACACAGCGGAGGGGAGCGGGCGGCGAGTGTCCGGTCGCGGCGCAGTGCCGCCGCTCGACCCCGGCCCCGTCACCGGCAGCGACTGCACGCGGTACGCGCGCCCCGCCCCGCGCCCGACGAGCCTGCGCGGCGCCATCCGCGGGTATCGCGCGCCGCCTGACGCGGCTGTGCTGCCACGGTGCGGTGGGCCCGCCGCGCGTCCCTCGCCGCTCGCGCACGGAGAGGGCCAACAGCGCGGCGGCTGGCCATCGCGCGTCCTGATCCTACGAGGATACGACCCTGATGAATTGTGCTCTTTCACCTCTTAATTTGATAAAGTGCTCCGCCTGAGTAATTTATGACGACTAATCACGGTGATAACTCTGAGTCGGCTCCCCCTTTCGCGTTGCAGATTTATGCCGATTACGCGTCCGTATATAATTTGAGTGCGCGCAGGTGGGTGATCAGGTGCGCACCGATCCTGCGTCGGAATGCCCGGACGGCCGTGCCGTGACCGCCCACATGCCCATATGGACATGGACAAACGGAGAGGGTATCTCTTAAAAGGCTATTGTCGCCCTCGCCTCCCTCCACTGCGCCCGAAAGCTGCCCCACACTCGGGCGGCCCGGAAGTCACGCCAGGAACTGCTGGCGGCTCACCGCATGCGGACCAAAAAACAAACAAACAAACAAACAAACAAACCGCGCGCCCGTGTATGCCGGCTGTGTGGTCAGCTGGTCTGCGCGGCGGCCGGCGAGGCCAAGCAGGCCGGCCCGGCCGCCGGCGGCCGGTCTGCGGCACGCGCGCGCGCTCGCTCGCTCGCCTCACCTTCCACCAGCGAGGTGAGCAGGGTGACGTTAGCTGCTTTTCTCCGGCCGGCCGGCAGGTTGAGCCCAATCTTTTCTAGCTTTTCCCGCAGTAACCTCCCGCCGTTCTTTGACTTCGCTCTGCAAAGAAGACAAATGGCGTTCGTCCATCACCGCAGCACACCTGCGCGCGCCGAGCACACCGAGAACAAAACGCTGACGAATGCTACGTCTCCAATAAACACTGGGCAAGGGTCAACTGTAGAACACTGAACAAGGGTCACTGCAGACTGTGTTGAACGTTCCGAGAAAAGCGCTTTCGCTCAAAGGCGGCAGAGTATTTCGCAACGTCACAAATATCTTACGGTGAACAGGCCTATTTACAACATGGCCTACACACCACACGTTTAACGCGTCGCGTTACACAACAGGTGTCGCAACGGAACGGGAGGACAACGGCCAAGGAACAGCGAGGATGAAGTGGATTCCGCCGCAGAACCGCCTCGGTTAGCGGGAGCAGCGGGAGCGGCAGCAGCAGCAGCAGCAGCAGCAGCAGCAGCGGCGGCAGGCGGCGGCGACAGCAACTGAGGCCTACACCGAGCCTCACCATCATCCGCCATCACGTCCAGTGCACACACGACTTCAGCAACGCAACGCACCCGCAGAGTCATACCCCACCATGCTGATGGAACGCACACAAACACACGTCACAGCCACGCAGCACGAAACAGACAACAAACATGACAATATTTCGAGAAGAGACGCGGGCTGCGCCTCCGCCAGCGCCGTGGGCCGCCCTGGCGACGCCGGGGGCCGTCGGCCGCCGCAGTCCGGTCGCGACCCGAGCCTATTCCCCGCGCGCGAGGCCACACTGCGGCCCGGAAAACCCGGCGCTGAGGCTGGGCCGCCGATCGGCAGACCGGGCGGACCGCCCCCGAGACAAGGCCGCGCTGCGGCCGCGGCGAATCCATATCTGTCCGGACGTTGTGACAGGAAAATGAGCAGGTTCGCGGCGCGTTACAAACAGCTCCGTCCTGTCGCGGCGGGCCGGGCGGGCGGGGCGGGCCGGCGCGCCTCTCCGACGCACGATACGTCCCGCTGGCGCCGCCGGCACAGCAGAATGACAGCCGTCCGAGAAAATACCATATGCCGCAAATCTGCATACCGGCGACGTCATCGCCGCGACGCCGGCTCAACGGACAGCGATGACGTGCTCGTGTTGGGACGCCCAGGTGACCGCAGCCGGCCGATGGACAGAGCTCCAAGCGGCCGCAGCCGGCCGACGGACACGGAGCTCCAAGCGGCCGCAGCCGGCCGACGGACACAGAGCTCCAGGCAGCCGCAGCCGGCCGACGGACATACAGCTCCAGGCGGCCGCAGCCGGCCGACGGACACAGAGCTCCAGGCAGCCGCAGCCGGTCGACGGACATACAGCTCCAGGCGGCCGCAGTCGGCCGACGGACACAGACCTCTAGCCGCCGCCCGGTAAGACCTTGGGCCGCCAGGTCGGGCCAGGCTCGGACCGGCGACAGCGATGTACCGTCGTACCCGATGGCCCACACACGGCCGCACACCATCACCAACACAAACAGAGGAGAGCGAAGGAGAGAGAGCGAGAGAGCGCGCGCCAACCCGGCTGTGCAGCCGGCGCGTTCAATTCGCCCTGATAAATGGATGCTGTTGGGCGACGGCCGCGCTCATGAATATGCCGCCGCCGGTCGGCCGGCCGGCCGGGCGCAGCGGCGGAGGCGGCGGAGGCGGCGGCGGCTACTGCGGCCGGCCGGGCGGCTCGTCACCCCAGCGGGAGGTCGGTCGGCGGCCACCGGGGCCCGCCGCGCCCGAGATCGCGCCGCCGCCGGTCCTTTGTGCCACCGAATTGCTCCGGTCAATTTGGAAGTCAGCGGGCGCCCGCGCCGCCGCCGTTCGCCGTGCTCCTCTATCATCAATCGCGCACGGCCGCGCCACCCGACAATGCCGCAACATTGTCCCGGCCACAATGGCGCTCATCTCGGCAGCGACAATAGTGGCGCGCGGCCGTGCGGCCGGCTCTCTGGCGCGCGCGCGTCATGAGGAGCGCGGCGCCGGCGGGCCGCGGCGGCACCTCGGCCGGTCCCCTGACCGGTGGCTAGCGCCCTGTGGCGGTCGCTTGGTATGCAAGGGGAGCGAGAGGACATCGGCAGCGCGCCATTGTTTTGCCACTGTCTGGGCCGCGATAAATCATTAATTTCATGCATGGGCCGCGATCGAATGGCCGGCCAACAACAAAAACGGCCGACAACAAAGCGAGAGCAGCACCACGGCCGCGGCGCATTATTCACCGCCCAGAAACGGCACAAAAGAGCCAATATAAATGAAAATGTCTCTATGGAGGCCGCTCTGGCCGTAATGGCGGCGGCCGTGTTTTAATGCGGCGGCTTCTCCGCGCGGCTGGCAGCCAAGTGACAGTGGTCGGGGGCGGCCGCGCAGGCCCCACCGGAAACGGCCGTGACCCCTGGCCACAGCGCGCGGCCCACCTCCCCCTCACCTTGACCCTGGGATCGCGCCAGGCGGTCACGCAGCGCCGCCATTAGCATTTTTACTCCGCCAAATTGGAGTGCACGGAGCGAGTGCGCCGGGCGGCGGCCGGGGCTCCGGACGGGTCACGCGAACGCCCCGCTCCCCCTGCACCCCTTGGCCGGGCCCGGCGACAAATGGGAACTGGCGCAGGTAATCAGGGCAGGCGGGGGAGCGGGAGAATTGGTGATCAGCCGAGAAAAATGACGCCGGTAAAAAGCCGGCGGCAACAAAAACACGCCATTGGAGCGGCGCTATAACAATTTAGCCATAAAGCCGCGCTGCGCCGGGCTGGACGATGGCCGCCGGACAGCGCGGTACCGTGCGTGATCGCGGGCTGCTGCCGGCGTGTCGATACTATCACACACACCGCCCCTCCCCACCCCCATATACCGGCCACGCCGCTCTGTAGTCGCCGCAAAAACTGCCGGCAAGGCGTTTTTGCCGCCGGAGCCGGGATGGCTGGTACATGCAGACGGGCTCAGCCACAGCCGCCGAGTCATTACCGGCCGGTTGCATGAGTCGACAATTAAAACATTCTAGCACGCTTTTCCACCCACGTACGGGCTTTTTTGCACCGGCCACCTTCAGTGCGCGGAGTCGTTCTTCGCCGTGTCCGGTAACAATGTCCCCATGAGACAAAAACGCTCGGGCAATAATGACTCGCGGGAGTCTGGCCTATAAGTTGCTCGCCGGCTGATGCTAACGGCCGATCAATAACGTCAGCCGCGACGGCTAACGAGCCGCCTGCAAATCAAATCGCGGCGCGGCTCGGCGATGAAGCCGATTACAGCGCCCCTGCCTCTCGCCGCGCGCCGCGAAAGCCGGCAACCAGGCTTCTGTTATCAATTTGCATTCGTCAAATGGGCTGCAGCCCATTATGCAGTAATGGTGTAACATTCATGGCTGTTTCTGACCCTATGCAGTACTCGCGCGTAGAACTCAAACTGAAAATAGAAATAAATTACGTTTCGGGAACGAAATCGCGAAACAAATGGCGCCTACGTGCCGCGCATAGCAAGTGTGACAAGTTTAAATACATCACGCCTCTCTGAAAGGAATGCTATTCGAGGCAGGGTTCTTCTCCACAACCGCACGCTTTCGCCATAGAAATAGTCGGACAGCCGCTAATATGGCGCTGAATGGCCCGGGAGAACGGCACCGGCCAGCACAGGCGCCCATTCGTACGTCGGCTGACGAGTGCGCATAAAAGTTGTCGGTGCTGGCTCGCCATGCACCGTTGCAGTCTCCCGCTAATTTGCTGGTCAGCATCGGAGTCGCCGGCCGGGGCCGGCCGCCCAGACGCCGCGGCTCCGGCCCCCGACCCTGCGATCGACACGCGATACGGCCGGGGGGCCACCGCTGCAGCAGCGCCGCAAGGACACGCCGCCGACTCCGCGCCGATAGTGGAGGGGCGCAGCTCCATTCAGGCCGGCCGGCAGAGGTGGCCGGGGTCAGCCAAGGTCGCGACGCCGCTGGCCCGCCGACGCGACCGGCCCCCAGCAGCCGCGCCTTCCGCCGCCCAGTCATGGTCGCGCGGTAGCGCCGGCGCCGTCAAAGCGGCCCTCATCAAACGGTCGTAATTAACTCATTTGGATTGCATTCCGGAGTGGCCGGGCGGCAGCGCTGCCGCGGCGGGTCACGCGGCGTCGACCGGCCGCGTCGCCGGCGCCGCTCTGCAGACCGCGCGCCGCCCAAACAGCCCCGTAAAGCCGCAAATAACTGAGCTAACGAAGGCCGCAGTGATTCCTTCGGTGGTGACGGCCGACGGCGACAATGGGCCGTTAGTTGCAACAGCGCGGGAGCTCACGCAGAGGCGCGTGAGCTCCAGGGGACAACGCTCGGCGAGTGGGCAATGACGGCCAGAAGCCTTGTTCAGACAACCGCTGGCACAGTCGGAAAATCTTCTGTCGACATTGTTTTTGTGTGGAGTCATCTCATTTTGTTTTGGGAAACATCATAAACAAATTGTCCAGTCCTTCTGACCTGCATTATTCCGACTGTGACCCCAGGCAGGACGAAATACATGGCTTTAGCTGGTCAATGGCAGCGGCGGCGACACCAGGGGTTCACGAGTGATGGCAGCGGCGGCGGCCTGGGGTCCACGAGTGACGGCAGCGGCGGCGGCCTGGGCCGCAGGACTGCCCGATCCCTGCCGATGCCCTCCGGAGACGTGTCTCGGACCAGGACGTGACCGAGCCCCGCGGTCCAACAGATCGACCAGATCCGTCCGAAGCCCCAGCTCAATTGCCACCAGATCCGTTCGAAACCCCAGCATCATCGCCGCCAGATCCGTTCGAAACCCCAACATCATCGCCGCCAGACACCGTCACAAATTGTCCGACAGGCAATTATCGGCTCAAATATAACCTCCCAGCCGAATTTTTTTGAGCCGTAACTAATGAAGGGCCGTCCGCGAGTGACAGGGGAGCGCGGCAGCCCGGCGCGGGCCCCGTGCGACACTGAGCCTCAGCCCCGACGCGGGCCCCGTGCGACACTGGGCCTCAGCCCCGGCGCGGGCCCCGTGCGACACTGGGCCTCTGCCCCGGCGCGGGCACCGTGCGACACTGGGCCTCAGCCCCGGCGCG